AAAAAACTTACGCCTTTGTGACTTCTTATAACTCAGCTAAAGCATCTTTGTACATTAAATTACGAATTCTGTTAGAGCCCAAGTTTTGCCTCTTTTACATACACTCGTGATATCGTAGGCAACCGTTGTTTGAAAAGTTTTCTTTCGTGACGAGAACAACGAACGGTTCAAAACTAGAGGTAACGTGACACAAAACATGTCTATTTTCGTCTAATCTGCTATAAAATGAATTCCACGCGCTAAATTCAGTATTTTTTGGAGTTTACACGTGTAGACTATCAGAAAATCATTGCTTGAGTCTTAGGTCATATTTTGCTTTATTTCCCATATAGGTACAAAGCATCTTGGTGTCAGCAATTTCGCTCTGTATTTTGGAGATCCTGGTTAACCAATAATAGAGATGTCATGATTTTTAGAATCAGACTTTACCAAAGTGTAGTAAGTAACGTTGGCTGAAGACTAACTTATGGGTTGGGTGCATTTAAAGCAATTCCGAGAGATAAGTTCTGAAAACAGATTTAAGGCTCTGTATGTTCCTTTACGCAATTGCTTTAATTGCAGTTTTTCGTGCATATTAAGTGTCCCTTCTACATTCAAGAGCCATGATTTAACATTCATAATGTAATTCGAGAAAAAAAGAGAGCGACAAGTTTAAAGAAAAATCTGCGAAGTTGTCTTATTTTATTTTGAAAATAGCGTTTAAGTTGTATTGCAACTCATCATCCTGCATGCTTGATTGCACGACCTGATGATCCTGAAGTATACAAGGGTTATGGTTCCACTTTTGCTTTAACAGGCATCCTGAATTAAGACCGTTTTTTATAAGAAAACAGTTGTTTAAGCATCAAAATGGCAGCGTAATATGTTTGTTCAAGAATATAAAAGTTTAGAGCAGTTTTATTGACATCGGAAGGTAGAAATAAAATGATTACCGTGCCGTGCAAATTTTTTTTTTCGTTGACATTTATAACTAAATAGATTAATGGAAAGTTTTATTAATAATTTAGCTCAAAATGATAGGCTTGTTCTATTAATCATTGCACATGTGCAGTCTCAGGAAAGATTACAAACATTTAACAAGGATACTGTTTTTCGATTTAGTTTCACTAAGAACAATCTTTTCTATTAAAATCAAAGCTTGATGACTGAGTAAATATATATTGTGAAATGATCTGCTTTGTTATAATTTCTTTCTGTTTTCTGTGTGTATCTTTTCTATTTTTTTCTCTTTGTTTAGTTCGTAGGTCTTTTAGCAGGGATTATCTACTTCCAGACCAAGATTAATCAATCTGGTATCATCAACATCGCTGGAGCGATTTTCTTTCTGATAACTTCCACGACGTTTAATAACATGGGATCAGTTATCTTTGTGAGTATCCGGGCCTTCATCATATTAGGTTAAAGAAACTACTATCACGGTTGCACATCCGGGCAATCTCATCTCGATTTCAAGATAGTACTAAGAAACAGCGAGCATCTCCATGTTATTTTACTGCCTACACTAGCTTGTTATCTCTCACTCTTTAATCTTTTCAGGATAACTAATCGTTACACAAGTAATTGGCTTTTATATACAATTGGTTCCTTTTTTTCTTTTAGACGTTCCCGCAAGAGCTTTCTGTGTTCTTACGGGAACACCATAATGGCATGTACCGTTCGGATGTTTACTTCTTGTGCAAGACCACTGCTGAGGTAAGGATGAATAAGGACTCAAAAGGTAAAAGAGATAAAAAATACTTTCGTGATTTTTGATTGGATGAAACACTTTCCTCACGTGTGAGACTTTTGTCCCATAGAGAATGCCTTTGCCGTCACGGTAAAAGACAAAAACAAGATCAAATCAAGAGACCAACCGTTCAGTTTATAACCATCTTGTACTCACCAACTTCTATTTATCTTTAGGCGCCTTTATTTTTACTTAATCCTCTCTTCTTGATGGCCATCGCGTACTGGATGATAGGTGAGTGAACTTAGGACACGGATGAATGAAGATTTATGTAGGTGAATAAGACAAACGTCCGCCAAACGTTTTTCCAAGTTTCTCTTGTCTCTCGGCCAAATGATTTAATAACATGACCTACTGTAGCATCACTTTCTGTAACTGTTCTTTATTTGGTTTTGATTTTTTTTTCTCAGGTTTGCGTCAACAGATACTCAGGTTTCTCTACGCGTACGGAATCCTGGCTTTGATCAGTATGGTGGCTGTATCTTATGGTTTGTGGTCACTCGTTTCCTTGTGTGTACGAAAGAACAAGTTTTGTTTACATTTCCCTCTCTAGAGCATCAGTGACATTCAAGGATACCAGAATCATTAATCGTATGGTTTGTTTCAGGTTTAAGGTTGCTTCCTCGAATACTAGTGTGTTTGAAGAGCCCTTTATACAAGCACAATTCTTTCCAAACAGTGCGACGAGCGGATGTTTCGTCCACGAATCCCAATATGGAGAGAGGATTATTATCTGTTTCATCAGGTACACTGTTAGCAAACTTTATAATTTTTGTTTTCTAGGTTACATGATTTCTACACTTTCCCCGACAGTAGCGACGGCCTCGTCTATCAGTGCACCCTTACTTCTTCCGTTGTTGTTACTAGGAGGCTTCTACGTAAAAAACACGTAAGTGGCGATGGTAATTGAAACCTAACTCAGTGCAGAATGATTACTTTTTCAAGAACCTACCGTTTTGAAATAGGTAATCCAAAACAGGAAGAGTTTACCCCGCCTACTAATGGCTCAGGCATGGAACTCCTACTGGCCATTGAGTTTAATCCTTTTGCAGATCCATTCAATTTCGCTTGCAGTTCATTCCACCTTAAATTTGAAAATCTTCATGGGAGACACGGTCACCTAATTCAAAAGTCTCTGAGTTTATTTCCTAGGCGATACCTTTACTCTCACGGTCATTTTCTCCATCCAGGAGTACGAGATGCCGGCTAGAGGAATCTTTTGAAATGGTTGGAATTTGAAAGAGTTGGGATGCGGGGGAAGGGGGGAGGTTTACCTACCATGGTCCACATCCATTCAGGGGTCGTAGCAAAACTTCCAATCGCTTCATGCTATAGGAACCAGAATAAGCCCGGGCCGGTAGGTCCACTTGGCTTTTGCCAAAAGCTACTCTGTGTTAAGGTCATACATCTTCTTATGGTATGTCGGTTACAACTAGAAGACAAAGATTAAGTTGCTACTTTCTCGTTTTCTTGCTATTTTGAGCTGGAGATATTTTCTCCTTTATAGGACGGTGCCAGTATGGCTTTCTTGGTTGCATTATCTTTCATGGTTCAGCTATGGATTTGAGGCTATGCTTGTCAACCAATGGAATGGTTATGGTGATAAAAGTAAGTTTTTACTCTAGTGTAACTCTGAGTATATGCGAATAATCAATGGCAATGAAACTCGGCAATTGTCGGGTAAAAGTTTTTGTGAACGGCCACAAAAGCTGGATCTTATCCCTGTGTCTGAAGCATGGAGCGGTTTTTATCAGATTGGCCTCAAATCAACCGAGGATCTTGAATTGTTGTCGCTAACACGATTTTGATTCCTACTTTTACAGTTTGTTCTGGGAAAAATAATACAGATTGCATTGGTGGAGAACAAGTTCTTCATGACCTCGGCTTAAAGAAGGTTGGTAAAACATCCACTAATTATTTCATTGCAGTCATAGAACAAGTTGAATAATGGCGACCTTTTCAGTGTAGCTTTGACTCTGCATATCAAGTCTGCTTCAAAACCTTCCTTTAAAACGCCACTTTTCTCCAAAAGAAAATCTCCATTATTCGAGATTTTCTCCTCCATTAACCCAAGTTTTCCATGAATTTTTTTCTTCAATTGATTTGAACTTAACTAGGAACACTTTCTCGATTAGATATCTGTTTACAAAATGGTGGTTGTGTAGTTTCAGTCAAGAGAAAAAAAATGTTTTTTTTCCTCAGAAAAGGATTTCCACAACGAGTGAAAACACTATGTCAGTCCTTCGAATAAAAAGTCCATATCACACTCCTGGCTATAGCACTTAAGAACAAGCTTTATCTTCCTGGAATTTAGAAAAGAGGGAGCACTGAATATCGTGAAAGCGAAATCAAATCTCCCTATGGAAATCGTCTGTCAAATTTTTTGGAATGTTTTGATCGTTGTTTTCCTTTTTCTACAGGATAACGAGGTTATAGACATCTACGCATTATTGGCACTCACCATAGGATTCCGTTTCATTGCGTATCTATTTCTCTTGAAAAAAGCTTACAAGAAACCCTAATCAACAAAATCAACAGAAGTGAAGGCGTGAATGTTCAACAGAAAGTCACGTCTTCTTTTATACACCATAGTAAACCACGTCCTTTCAATGAAAATAAAATGTAAAGTAAAGCAAAACAGCTACGTTTATGAATAAATAAATTTATGAATTTATCTGTCATTCAATTGAAAAAAAAAATGAATAAAAAATAACCACAGTGTTTGAGTTGATTTATTAAGCGATGAGCTCCGATTTCGCATATACTTAATAGAAAGTTCTCATGGTTATTACAGGACGTCATACTTCCCAACGCCTCCAGAGTTTTGAGGATAATTATGCTACAGAAGCCAACTCTCAAATTCACAATTAAACGCAGATAAAAATGTACAAAATTCTAAAAGACAAAAATTATGAATAGCAGCAACTACAAGATCTGAACATGATCGGTCAAAAAAAAATTGTATTGAAATCTTTTTCGTTTACTGAATACGACTTGAACTCTTTTATCGCCATCGGCTGTCTGCACATGTATGATTACATGTAATTATTGAAGACTTTCTTGTTTGACTGTGAAGCAAAGGACTTCCTTCCTCTACTAAGTTCTTTTGTAAGAATTCCTCAAAAGAAACAGGAACGATATCAAGCGAAACCCGACTGTTATCGCCACAAGGGCATAGATATCAATAAGGAGATTTTCCTGTAAAAAAGAAAGTAAACAAAGAAAAAAAGAATCTCTTTGTTAGTGATCTCTCGCAAATTTACCTCAAGCCCTAAACTTTTTCTTTTTCTTGCGGCTTGTCAACTTGCGATTGCGTTCAGCACCTTCGCAACGAAATATTACCGAGTAATTTAGTGTTAACAACTGGGTTGAAAACGTAAATTAGCCACCGTAAAGGGTAAAAAAGCTGACGTTTCGAGCGTTAGCCCTTCGTCGGAGCGATTGCTAATTTACGTTTTCAACCCAGTTGTTAACACTAAATTACCTGCTATACTCTCCCACCGACGCAGCACCACAGTTTCTTTAGAAACTTACCCCTTTATTGAAATATTACCGAGACACTGTCCATTGTAGTATAACATCAAGGGGAATTGTGATTTTTTTTTAGGTACATAGGCCACATTTGGTAACATCACTTGGGTTTCTGAAAGTTCCTAAGCAGTTACTTTACTTGATTCGTCTTGTGACTTCATAATACCCACCTCCTTCAATCCACGCTGTTCAATAGCTATCGATCCATTGTAAACGCAACTTGTGTAGGTCTCATTGTTAGGAATTATTTTACAAGCTGGGAGGAACAAAACAGGTATAAAGACAAAAAGCAAAAAATGTTATCTCTTAATTTAGGACACACACACACACACAAAAAAGATCCTAAAAAACTCACCAAGGTGCTCTCGAGTTTCCGATGAATTAATTTGTAACATCTCAAATAATTTTCACTCAGATTATGTGTTGTGTTTCTTTTGGTTTCGGAGTAGGAACTTCCGCAGTAAGTAAGAGCTCACGTAATACTTCGATGGGAAAAAGAGTGCACCTTTCTTTTAGAGAAAAAGAATGTTCCAGAAACAATATTATTCCCCTCTCCGCCATTGAAATGCATGTGTGTAATTACGACGAGTCAGTTAAATGAAACGCAGAAGCTGTTTTGTAAAATGCGAGTTTTACTCTCCGTCTTGAGAATTGAATTCAAAATGGCGAAGTGCGTAGTCGAACCCTTGGCACATTTGAAGACAATTTTGGAAGGTTGAGATACCCGTTTGGATCTCAAAACGCGGTAAATAGTGCATTTTCATATATACTTTTTAGGTTAAAAGATGAAGTGTGCCGATGACTTGAACTCATATTTAACGGCGCCTGACAACTCTGAGTTCTATTGAGGTAGAAACTCGACAAATTTACCGTAACAAATCCTGCTCTCTGATCATAAATGATTTGGTTATTTCACGTTCAAGAGAATGTCAAGGAAACGAACTTTGTTTAAAACGTAGGCGAAGAACTATTATTTTGCATATGAATTATTTTAACATCGCTACGTTCTCTTGTGCGTCGCCGTAATCAGGGTTTGCATCCAATTACGAAAAGTTACTGTTGCTGCCGATGATGAATTTGACCTTACTGGCTCTATCGCTTCGTCAGCTATTTCAGTTTCAAATTCAACTTACGGATAGGACCATAATTGTCCCACTGATTAACAACCAGAGCTTCGAATCCATAATTGAACCAGGACAGATATCTCAGCCAAGACAGCCACTCTGGAATTGTTCTGAAACATAAAACAAATGCAAAGATACATAAATAAATAAATATATAAATAAACAAACTAATAAAGGGTTGAATAAATGAACTAACTGACTAATAAACGAAAAATGAACAAATAATTAAAAACATGGTTAAAGATTTAAAATCAAAGTTTCTAAGTTATTAAAAGAAACCCAATGCACTGCTATACGCGATAGTGTTTATTCTATTCAAACGCACAAACACGCTGTACTTCTAGTGTAAGTTTGATTAATAGTTAATAACAAAGACTGAGTGGAGTCCAATTCTATCTGTAATCATGACTGATTATCAAAATCAGACAAACGCGAAGTAGGAGTCCGATTTGTTTATCACGAGTAAGTTTATAGGGAGAATCGGACATCACAAAGTCCGGTTACCAATTTATCAAAACTATAACAACACCTGAGAAAGAAACTAGACATTGGTTATAAGTTTCATAATAAGAAAAAAACAATTGTTAACTTAGCGAAATGTGCAACAACGGCGCACGCACATGACGCGTTCTGTTCGCTAAGACAGGCATGACGTGTCAACAGTGTCCTATGAGTGCTTACGTAGGGCTGGTGATAAACAATTATGTTCGAGAATTTGTAATAGTTTTGATTAATTTTAAAACTAGTAAGTCGCTCATTTTTTATGTTAAAGGTCTCTGTGCCAACCTCCCAAAGGAAACCAAAAAACGCTTTTTCAACCCTCATCAGAACCACAATAGCAAATGAGTTTAGAGATTATAAGAGATCATGATCTCTTGTCTAAGCAAACAACGATCATGCATTTACTGACCGGTTTTCAATGTAGAAGCCACCAAGTACTAATAGAGGAAGGGTCAACGGACCACTTAGCGCCGTGGAAACTGACGTCGTTGGTGAAATTGTAGATATGACGTACGCTGAAATAAAACAGAGAATTACAGAAAAATAGATTTGCTTTGTGTTGAATATCACTCAAAAACCCTTTTCTTATATACGTAAAGAGTTTTTTGAGTATAATTCAACGCAAAGTACACGTGGTGATGATTTTGAAAATATCTGTTGGTTGTTGAACTCGATCGAGCGAAGTCTTGGTCAGACTGTACTCATTAAAGGCCATGCTATAAACACTATCCTACTTCAAACTAGTGATTCCGTGTTCAAAAATGTGACGTTGATATCATTGCCCCAAACGGACACCATGTGGGTTTTTTTAAATAAATAATAGCAATAATAATAACAATAACAATAATAATGATAACAATAATGATAATAACGTTACGAATCTAGAAAAGTTGTTCATTGTATTTGATACAACTGATATGAAATCGTCTGTGAACAAACCAAAAGAGACAGCAGCCATACTGACTAAGGCAAGTATTCCATAAGCGGCCAGAAAACGGAGCACATCTGGTCTCAAACCTTAAAAATACATATCATGTGAAGAGGACGAAAAATTAGCAATACATCAAAATTCAAAGACCTAGTTTTTCTTTTTGTGTAGAGTAAGCTGAGATGAACCTCTGTTGATGCTAGCAGTTAAGACATAACCTTAATTAAAAAGACACAATCTATGAGTAAAAAAGTAAATAAATAAATCGGAAAAACATTCGCGAGGCTCACCAACCATCCAGTAGCCCACAGTAATCATGACCAGCGGACCAAGAAAGAACTGTGGAGACTATAAATACGAGAAAAGTCTTATCAAAACGCATGACGTTACCATTATCAATTTTTTGTTTCTCCCCATATAAAATAAGTAGATTCCTTGTTGCCATGGGTTTGTACATGCAGTAATAAATCACAGAAGACGTCAAAATATGGTGAGAACATCAGTGACGCATTTGGCTGTGCCTCCTGTGCCACGTTTTTCCTTAGCACGTTTTGACGTCATCTGTGATCGGTTACTGAACAGAAGCACGGCAAAATGGAATCGTTTTTGTTAAAAAAGAAATCTCGAACTCATAATCAAATAGCCAAATTCTTTAAACGGAAGTTCATCCAAGAACCCAAAAAAAAAACGCTTTAATTACACTGAGGATTTACAACTTGAAAACATTTAGCTCTTTGTTAGTTGTTTTGAGTAAATTCACCCAAGGAATAAGTGGAGTATTTGTAGTAACCGTTGAACAATTTTAAGTTCAAAAGAATTACTTCGGCCAACGTCTTGGATAGGAAGTAAATGTCCGTACGGTACATCCTGTTGTTGTGTTCTCGTAAAAATATATTCCTTTCTATTGGAAAAGTCTACAAATAGATAAATAAATAAGGGTTAATAAATAAAAGAATGAATCAGTGGAATAAATGAAACAACGAATAAATAAATGAATGAAGGAACGAACGAATGAACGAACGAAAGAAGGAACAAATGTACGAACGAAGGAACCAACGAAGGAACGAACGAAGGAACGAACGAAGGAACGAACGAAGGAACGAACGAATGAACGAACGAATGAACGAACGAATGAACGAACGAATAAATGAACGAAGGAACGAACGTATGAACAAACGAAGGAACAAACGAAGGAACGAACGAATGAACGAACAAAGGAACGAACGAATGAACGAACGAAGGAACGAACGAATGAACAAACGAAGGAACGAACGAATGAATGAAGTAGTGTTACAGTAACGAATGAGTGAATAGGTTCTTAATTTAATTGATAGAACTATCAATCGAAAAACGAAGTGCCGGATCGATCTAACAACTAGCTGATTGATGGGTTGATTAATAAATCTATCGATCACTTGATAAGCTGAACAGAAGCAACTACCAACGATAATGAATAACTATTTAAAGGTATCTAACTTTTATCAAACCAACCTAAGAAAATGATAGTCAAAACTTACGAAAGTGACTGCCGAAATGTTTGAGAAGGAGACAGAAGTCACAAGGAAGAAAAAGGCCCCATAAATATTCTCAATACCGTCCTGGTCAATCGTTGTTTGGAAGAAAATAATCCCAGTAACAAGACCTATGAACTTAAAAGACAGCGAAAATCATATTTTGACCCGTGATAACGAGACGGAATCACGACAGAAGCCAACAGAATTAGTTTAAAAACTGATGATGTATGTCAGAGATATAGTACTGCGTAAGTAATGCGAACGATAATCGACGATTATCGTGAAAATCGTGAGTTATCGAATGCATTGTAAAGCTATCGTTCTAGCAGTCGCGAAAATGGCGAATTTTAGTTCGGTCTGATATATCATAGGACATAGTGATACATCGTTTTCGCTCTACGATCTCTTGCTCAGCGATGTACTGCCCTGTTTAACGAGATTCAGCGATCGCCTTGGAACCTATACACTTACTATGCTCTGGAAGAATCTAATGCGAAAAATGAGAACATCTCGCTTATTGGTCAGCCATGATCGCCAAAACACCGAACGGAACTGTCTGCACCAAGATGCTTTGTATCTAAAAAAAGTACATGGAGAAATTATGAAGTAAAGGATATTCGTCCCAGATAACTTTTTTGGGAGAAAATGCGTGCAAAGATGAAAATAAAAAATATAAGGGGCTGTTTTCAAATGAATGTCGACAGCAATCAGGCATCGCATCGGGTTTCTTTCGACTTTGCTGTGCACGTGATCTGACGAAAACTAAAAGCAATTTCGGTCACTCGCGTTCTCTTGCACTCCAAGCGTTTGTCTCGCTCTCAGTTGGAGTTATCAATGGTTCCACTGTTCTGGTTTGCCGTTGTGATTACTTAACGTAATAAGAGCAGTTACTCGAATGAACTCGATGTTTGTTGCTTAAGAGCACTTAGGATTGGAATCTATGCGGGGCTCTAAAACATACATCTAGGAAGAATCTATAATACTTTCAGTGCTATCAGGAAACTAAGCGTCGACTGTACAAATGGTAGCTCTAGCAATATACACAAACGGAAATATCTTAACACATTATCATCAACTGAAAAAAAAAACTTACGGTGAACGTGAATTGGCGTCTTCCCTAAAAGAGTCCTACAAGATATAATAAATATTACCGTATATGATTTAAACCATCTATCAATCATGGAAGACGAATCGAGGAAAGTGTAAACCCTGTGCATTCAAAAGCCACAAATTTCTCTTTCAGGGACTTGGAGTGGTCCTCGTCCACTGGGGAGTGGTCCTAGGGTGCCTATGTACCCCCTCCCCCACTTTTCCTTCTTTACGTAAACAACAAACAAACGTTAAAATTCGAAACGTGAAAAATCGTTCATCCAAGAATCTGCACGGCATGCACCACTCAGTCACTGCTAATCCAATGCTGGTGTCCCCTTCAGTATGGTGTTCACTTTGACAGTTGGGCAAGTACCTTGCTTTGGTAAATCTCAGTCACCCCCCTTGATTACCTGTCGTTCTTGGGTCTCCGGCTTGCTGAATTCTGCTTCACGCGCCGAGTACACGTCACATATGTCCTGAGTGATAGGAATAAGAAAGGTTTGGCGCCTGATGATCAGAAACTCGAATTCGGGGTGACTAAAGTTCAAACTGGCTCAAAATTTTCATAAAAGTCACGCACTCCGAGTTAACGATTTGCCATATCGTTCAACCAAATCAAATCAACCTTCGTTTCAAATTATGAAGGCCATATAAAGAACACCATAATCATGCATGGCTGTTTAAGGTGATCCTTCAAATGGCCCCGCTTAGAACTGTAAAATCAGAGTCATCGGGTCATATATATGATTCATGATTTCACTTTATAAACCGACCATACTCAATAACCCATCATCTGCCACAAGGAATATCATGTGACTTCCCCTATCTATACTCATATTTCAACACACTTTCCAGGAAAAAAAGGCAACCTTATCAGCCCAGTAGTGTTGTCTTTCTTCAACACTACTCTTAACTAAGTTAAAAGAAAAAGTGTATGGGAGGAGTTATGAATTAGTCCTTCAATGTTAAAGATAAGAAACGTCTATAACCTGGACTCTTTTACGGCAGTTTTCCTCATCACCAGGTACGATTGCCAGCGTACGGATAAAATGATCAGCAGGGTTAAAATTGACTGGACATGGATAGCCTAAGCTGTAAATATTGACGAGAAAAATATTCGTTTTAATAAGAAAACGCACGCGGAAACGCTTACGACCAGGAGCGAGTATTCCGGAGGTCTTCCCAAGGCGGAAATCTACTTTTATCTGGAGTGGTAATTTTAACTTGAGGTCTTGAGAGGTAAAAACTGGCGTGGTTTTTTTGGTGAACTAGGCCAAGTCTGCAGAGTGCAGGTGAAAAGAGGACTTATTTGTTTTGGATGTTTGTTATCGCATGCGAAATCAGACAAAACAGACTTTTCAAATGTGAAGTTTGTGGTATATACTATTGTGTGAAATCAAACAAGAAGTTATTGGGCCGAGAGGTTCAATCTTCATGGCTGAAGGTGTCATGTGGGTATCGCGCCGCGCAAGACACACGTAAATGTCTTTTTTTCACTCGCCTTGTGCGCTTTACTCATTCTCTCCTCGCGCCCTCGTCTGCCCGTTAGAAAAACGCAAAACAATGATTCCTGTATCGCAGGCTACATGTGCCTCGCGTGTCTCTCGAATGTTTTGGTGGAGAACAAATATACGCCATGTAGAATGTTCACGAAAGCTAAATTTGCATCATAGGATTGGTTACTTCGAGACCTTTCGGAGATCGTCGAACGCGGAAATAATCTAAATACAACTGAAGAAAGACCAGGCAAAAGGTCTATTTGGAGGAATCAGTCTTTCAAGTTAACTTCTCTTGGTGTGACACGACTGTTAAGATAAAAGCTCCTGACCTGTCAAAGTACTGAATGGCATCTGCTCTGGGGCCAAGATAAGCTGTCCTTCCTTCTGCTAGCAACAGGATACTGAAGAAAATGGGATAAGGAGAAATGTTCACAATACTTGTGACTATTCTGAGTGCTGATAAATAGTTGTTTAATTGATTACCTGACTGCTACATGGATGACTACTTGAATGAATAAATGATTAAATGAATGGATCCATGGATAAATGAATGAGTGGGTTTGTAAGTGCGGGAGTGGATGAATGAATGATCATGAATGAATATATGGCTGAGTGAATAAGTCGACGAATCAATAAGTGACTGCAGTTGCTTTCTATCGCCCACTCGCCCAGAGGCGATCTTCCTCACTATCCAAAAACTCTACCATAGAAAATGATTAATGTTACCTGTTGAACATGGCATAAACTTGAGAAGAGGGCTGATGAATGGTGCAAATTATCGTCCTTCCTTGTGCCGCCAGTTGCTGCAGTGCTGTTATCAAACTCTGAGCCATGAATGAATCAAGGCCTGAGGTCGGTTCGTCCGCAAACAGCAAAGGGGGGTCTGTGAGGATCTGACGAAAAATGGCATTGAAATATGATAACTTCGAAATGAGGAGTTTCTTTGCATGGCATTCACAGTTGATTAACGATGGCTGAGGTAAATGACTTTGTAATTGTAGAATGTATGTAAAATAAATATTACGTTTAGTGCTAAAAATATTTTTATCTACGTGAGCTATGAACAGCAATAACTTTTACAGCATCGATGAATAGCTATAGTGCTTCCTATACACGTTCATACCTCGGATGCAAATGACAGTCTCTTCTTTTCTCCTCCCGAGATCCCGCGTAGACGTCCCGGAATTCCTATGAATGTGTCGGCGCACTTCGTAAGCCCAAGCTTTGGAGAAATGAGTTAATTTTTATTTAAATAACTTTCCGTTTTGGTTTTGTATCTGATTACTGAGAAGGTGGCTCAGGTTTTATCAACTAATCAGAGGCACAAAAAATTTAACTATAGCAATCTCAGCGGATTATCTGCAAAATCCCAATTTAATATTCCTTTATACAATATCATACTCAGCAATTACTCTCATTGAATTTCCTCCCACGCCGTAAAAGTCTTCTTTGTCTCGAAGGCAACGACGATAAAATGAAAATAGCACGAGAATGAAAGAAAAGGGAAAACATGCTTAATGGGTTTGCCAATCAGGATGAGAAAGATTTTTCGAATTAAAGTCAGTTTTAATGAAAGAGTTAGCTCTTCTAACAGAGGCAGACAAAAGTCTAACAGTAGCCCTACCATCTTCTTTTTAAGCTCTTCTTAATTTGAGGTTTTATGCATCTCACCTGAAGTATAACGTCCTCGACACGAGTTTTGCGCTGATTGTCAGGAACGTTCTTTTCCATGCGCAGGAAAGCCTTCAGGTAAAAATCCAGAGCATCACAATTATTCACTGGCAAAACAATCACAACGGTCAAACATTGTGCATGCTTCGTTTCGGTGGTAAAGACAAATGACAGAACCTTTTTCTGTGTTTACCGGAAACTCTACCATGAACACAACAAATAATTACTAATGCTAGCACGGCCGAGCTTATGGGCGACTTCATCACCGTGCAGTGCAAACTGTGAAAAAAGGAATCAGCAGAGTGTCATAAAACTACCACAAAGTCGGAAAAGTCTAGAACGACAACACATGTAAATCTCGGCCTTAGAAACGTCGAAATGTCCTTAGAAATTGTTAAAAACACTATGTCTCCACAGAAAAGTCGTGCTTACATTTGCAAATTAGCCATGATGCTTGTGTGTTTGACTGCCAAATCGACTAAACATGAACGTACGAGATTTCTGCTGGAAAATGTTACAGAATGCCCAAATTCTGGAAAAATGGAGAACCATGAAACAGGATTTTTCCATGTCCTTTCTCCTAGCTACTCTCCCCTCTCTTCTGCTTTTCTTTAGCCTCCCCCCCCCCTTAACTCAACAACAATAACTTGCTACGACGTATTCACTATATTCACCTGAAACGTGAGATGTTCCCTAACAGTGAGAGTCCCGACAAAGAGATCTTCTTGCTGAATGTAAGCAGACATAGAAGAGATCTCTGGTCCAATGGGACGATTATTTATCTCCACAGTCCCCCTTACTTCCATCTGACAGATGTTGCGGTGGGCCAGCACATTCATTAGGGTGGTTTTACCAGCACCGCTGCAGGAAAATAAAGAGACACTCTGTAAGATGAAAGCTGATCCAGGAGCTCAGATCAGCAAAAAGGCGACTTAGCTAAATGAAAAAGGTGGAGGGATCAGAGAGCCTTTTTTTTTTTATCTTTAATGCTTTTCAGACGGACACAGGCGGGCGCAAGGTGAGGGTGACAACAATGGAAAGGGCCAAAAATATTATTTTCTTCACGCTCCACCCGCCGCTTGTCTTTTCTGGCTTAAAAGACGCAAAAAAAAGTGACCACTCTTTCGTAGGCTATATCTTACCTCGCACCCATAACAGCAAGCAAGGTACCAGCTTCAACGTTTCCGCTAACTATGGACGAAAACAAAGTTTGGAGTTACAACGAGAAAACTGGACAATTAAGAGGTTATTTTTCGTCCCTACCTCTTCCTGAAGCTTGGGAACACTCGAAAACCTTAATTGTTGCAATCCCAATTTAACAATTCAATTTATTAAAGCTAACTTTGGGATGATTTAGATCAGCAATGGTAAAAAATGAAGATATAAGACGTGTAGGGGTTCGGGAAGGAGTGTGATATCTGTAATTTGCGGAAGGCCTGAAGTTAAACTCGACGATGTGTTTTTCGACGGCCGTGTATTGTTGTACTATTTACGGAATAGGTCCTATTTCCAATGACGTATTAATGTCACGCTGCGAGTAAATCGAATCAGAGATCGAGGTACAGAACATGCAATGTTTATAACAGAAAAATTGCGAAATATAACGATTAAGTGTCCATTCGAAGCCTATGCGAGTTCTCTGTTCTTACACCATCAAGGTAATCATGGCTCCCAGAGGGCTTTCTTTCCGTGCCCGATCAGTAGGGTATGATACGAAAAACAGGAAGCCAGACCACGAGCGGTGGTACGACCTTGAGTGGATTCAACACCGAAAACTGAAATTAATTTCATAACCTACCGTTGAACAAGATTTGCTTGCTTTTAACTACTTCGTTTTCACTTTTCCCAAACGAGCAGAGTCTCTTTATAATGGACGGTCTGGGATTCTCAACAAACACTTGAATGTTTTCCCAAGAAATTGAAACCCTGTCACTCGCGTCTTCGACAACTGTGCTTGATTTTAAGCCACGTTTTGTTGACGCTGTTTCCTCTATGTTGCTCGAGATTCCGCTGTCTTTAGAAATTCTGGAATCAAATGTTGAATAGCCCGGCAACTTTGGATTTTTCTTCCTTCGAAGGAAAGGAGAACGATCCGCCATCGTTTAACTGAATAAAAAAGGCCTCTGCTCGAATTCCTCAGTTCCTCGTTGAACGTCACGCAATGGCCGTAATATCAGTTTATCTGCTTTGCCCCCAGGGGGGAGGGTGAGAAAGGGTTCAAACGTGACGCGTGATTAAGGTTAAGAGACTTAAAGAAAAACGAGCGTGGCTCGTGAATTCATGACCCAGCGTTGGGCGTGATTTGGCTCCTGGAGTATTCGTGACCCGTGAATCCCGCCCACAAGGAGATAGATTTAAAATTGCCCCTATTAAATTTATGATGTGTGAAATGCTCTTTAAAGTACATGTGAGGCGTGAATTTTTCTTAAATTTGTGCGTGAAACGGGATCAAGATCCCCCGCTCTATCTTATGCTAAAGTTACCGTATGAATTATCGATCCATTGCGATTTGGTCACATTTTGGTTAGGAAAAATACATGCAAAGTTAACTCTCAAGAAATTAGCCTGCACTGCAGGTGTCTTATTATTGGGGCGAGCGAACCATTAAGCTCGTGATCGTTTATCTGACCAGCCATGTTGGATTTGGAGTGAGAGCGGACGGTGGGGGTAAGGGGCAGGGAAAGGGCGAAAAGTAGTCTTCACTCCCCCTTCCCCCATCCCTCTCCTTATTTTTGACCGTTGATTGCCTCTTTAGTACAAATTTCTTTCTCTCTTCAGCCTTCTGCCGCCATTAAAATCAAAGATGGCGGCCACAGTTTTCGTGAAGAAAATACTGAGCATTCGCTCGCCAAAAATACGCCTGCTCTGCAGACCACCAAAATATGAGTTATAATTTGTTGTTCCTGTCGGCTAATGGGTTTTTGCCGGCGATCTTCAATTAGAGCCTGTTTACTTGTATGCGACCAGCTTTTTTTTCTATGCTAGAATGACGATCTTTCAGTCGATTTATTGACGTCAAAGCACGCCGGTATTAGTTCGATTCTTCTTCGGTTGCTTTCCGCATCTCGGCAAAAACGTCATGGGTTAGTTCTCTAGTATTGGAATAGCACGCAAGTTTTTTCGTGATGGTCTATGCTTCGTCAGAGTGATAAAAGGATTAGTAACTAGGAAGTTTTGGGTTTCGGTAAACATAAGCAAACCGACTGTTTACGTACATAAATATGTCCGAGCTCAGAATATTAACCAAAAGAAGGGAAATTTTCTGAATTTCTAACACTCCTCAGTTTGATGCTGCACGAAGTTCAAAGCAAGGAATTACTCTTATCAACTTGAAGAAGATAATAGTGCATTCAATACATATTCTAATCGGTTTCCTTTCCTCTGGTTTTTTCTTTCCGACAGAAATTATTTCCAAAAACATTTATAATTTTCAACAAATTCATTATCTGTAGCTTGAAAGCGGAATAACGTTACCCATTGTGCCGATGCGAGAGAAACAAAAGACTGCAACATCCCGAGGAGAATATTTTGTTTCTTTCTTTCCGCCGAGACGGTCAATTTGAAGCCTGGCGACATCGCCTTAACTTAGAGAAGAATGGACTACGGACTAATATCAGCCAGCCAGACGGCGTAAAACTCACCCTTTTAATCTTCAATAGGGTAAAGCTGCGCTTCAAAACGCGAATTCTTAAAAATATTTAAACTATATATAAAAGAGATTTCAATGCATCTCGCTGTTTTATTTGGCGTACCGATCTGCGAACTCAGCATCGTCATGACATTATTTTCGCCGCAGGCTGTTAACATTTAACGGAAAGAACTAGAGATCCACCCACGAAATATCCGTTCATGTGAGTTTCATGACCTCTGGATTGAAATCACTCTATGCAAAATTAATTCGATAGAAATAGTCGACTCTACCATATTATTTATACTCCGCTGCGACAAAATAATATATCTAACAACTCCTGCTGGTCAAACCAAATTGCGGTGACGTTATCATAGAGAAAAGCTAAGAGAGAAAAAGACAAAGCCAAATTGCGATTAATTAGCATATAGCATATGCAAACGGTATTACTTTAGAGATGTTTGTTTTTTTTTTAATTTTTTAAATCACTTGAAATCTCATAACAACATTTGATATTCTCATGAAGTTTGAGATAATTTTTCCTGGGGGTAGTTTTACAGGCTAATAAATTTCCTATTTGGCAACCTTTTTCGGTTTTGCATTTCGGTTTTCATCTATGATTACGTTATTGCAATTCATTGCAAATAATTTAGGTCACCACGCAGAGAGAAATACGGAAAAGACTTCCGGCCGAAAGCCATAGTATATTGGACATTATAATTTCACTAGCTTTTACCTTAGCTTAGCTTCAGGGCATTGGAACGCGCAAATTATGCAATGGTCTTACACTGTGGAACAGAGAAAATTACGAACAGAAAGCAAAGTTAAAAAATGGTATTATTCAACGATACAAACTTTTCCTTTTTTCCCCTTTTGTCAGGCTTGCTTTCTATAATTAGAGTAACGAACTTTCTAGCCCATCCGCATTTATTTGGTTATGCATGAAGAATGGTTGAATGGTTTTATTTATGTTGTTTTCGTATTTCGCCCACGCCTCATGCGATCGATGCCGGCGATGTTCAAATATGGCCGTAGGAAGTATTTCGAAAACTAGAGGCCAAAAGTTAGAACATGAAATAATAATAGAGACATCAGTGGGTTTGAATTTGAGACACTTTATGAAACGTTTAAGACTAAAATCAAATAAAACCCTGTATTCAATTATGCTGAAAAAATGTTTACATGCTTACACAGTTTATGATGAAGTTTGCGGTATTTTCTGGTAATGTGAGCTACATCGATAGTTTATTCCTGTTCTTTTATGAATTAAGTAATGCGTTAAAATGAAAGAGTAGTTTTTATGGGATTAATGTGAGTTGTGATCAGTCCCTGTTTCAATTTTTGTTCGTTCTTGATCAATCGTAACGAGTTTGGGAACTACTCTTTGTGGATAGAAGGAAGGAACATTTTTTCTCAATACACATGTATGACCGGCTCCGTGAACAAGCGCTGGATTGGGCGAATTCTGAGTTCTGACTGGATGACTAAGTTGGGCACGTGGGCCTGTCGTGCCTGTGCACGCCCACGTGTGCTCCTCATGACGAGGCAAAATATTCACATTAAGTAATGTTTAGTTAGATAATAAATCATTTATAGAGCGAGCTTTCATCTTAAACTAACCATGCATTTTTCTCGTTTCAAGTAAAGAACCCGTATAATTTGATCTCGTCTGGCGCCAAAAAATAACTTAGCGAGTATTTAGTCAGCACCTGTTTGGATTTTACACATGCTCATTAACGTAAACATATCATTAGCTCTGCCTTCAAACTTTTGATAACTAAGTTTTGTTGCCGAACGCTTGAAAACATTACAACATAGGATCCTTCTGTTCAGGTAAGTTCGCACAGCATGTTTTGAATTAATATTCTAAGTCCTTTAACAAGTGCGTGCTCTCTTAACTAGTTAAATGAAAATGATTATTTTTCTTGTGCACCGATACATAACCTCTAGTTAATTTCTATGAATATGGGAAAGTTACTCGTACTTAATCTAGTTGACTAGTTTACCGCAATTAATGTATGTTCGTATGGCTATGTCATTTGCAAGTGTCACCATCTTGTTTAATCCCAGAAAACAGGGCACGTATTTTTGACTGTATTTTCATAACTGAAAGAAGGACAGTTTTTTATTTCTTTTAATCGTAAAACTTGTTTAAAAATAGCTTGATTCACAAAAGATGGCCTGTGATTCCTGTCATCATGTAATGTTTTTATAGCTCATTTACAAAAACAAAGTTTGCTCTTGATATGATCGAAAATCTTTAAAGGGTAACAGCTATTAGTTAATAGACCCCTTCAGGCTACAGGCATGTCGGCTTATAGTGTCTGCGGTTGAGATATTGCCCGAGAAATGAATATTTGGCCGGGAGGCGAAGATTCGAGGACAAATTTGAAATTATGAGCCAATAGGATTGCACGAAAATTAATGGGTGGGTTATAATGACCATTAGTTAACAAACGTAGGAAACTTTTCATCAAGGGGGTAAATTTATAAGGAAATCGTGGTGCTGCACCAGTGGGGGTATTACACGATAGTTTGGTTTTATTACCTCAAATTATAATTTAAATTAGCCATTGTAAAGAGTTTCTTAAGCTGATGTCCCGAGCGTTAGCCCTTAATCATTCTCTCTGACGAAAGGCTAATTCTTAAAAAGTTAGCTTTGAAAACTCGTTACAGTGGTTGGTTTACATTATCAACTCAGTTGATAGGAAAGATAATTGAAGGTTAGCTTCAACGCTGACAAAGATGCGAAAGGTTTGACAATCAACCAACGTCCTTTCACAAAAGATACAAAATTCAGAACTTACCAGTGAGACCAGTTTTAAAATAATTTGTGTAATTGACTGTATATGTTGTTGTTTTGACCTGTTGATCATCTTTTCCGTGATTTAAATTTTTAATATTGACGGAATTAGATTTTGCCAATTAGAGGGATTATAAATGCGTGTTTAAATTTCGCAAGGATTTTTATTCACGCCTCTTTAATTCAGCTATTTATTTCATGTCCGCGAAAAACGCGAAATTTAGTACCAATTGAGTACGTAAAATAAAATAACAAAGTAAATCAATTTGCTTTTTCTTTTCTGTGACTTTTTTTTCTCTTTATCTTTAGGTCGTTGAACTATATACAAATAAAAATCAAAGGAAACTCAATGGTTCTGAACACCAGTGCCAGTAATCAACAGAATGTGAGTAAGCTGTCCATGATAGCAGCAGTAGAATCACAATGCATTCCATGGTTAGCTGTGTTCATCGCTGAATTTCTGGCCATAATTATTCTTAACATCATCATCATTGTTGTGTTTGTGAAGAAGCGCCAGCTACTACGCCGAAGCACATACTTGATCATCCATCTGTTGGTAGTCGATCTTATAGTTGGAGCAGTGGCAGGCCCTGGATGGATCGTGGAAGATATGAGTCTATACTGTCATCAGAGCGAGGAGTACCAGTTCCCTGGTTGGTTCTCCAAGGCATCGTCTGAATTCACCATCGTCGCCTGTCTCAACCTCTTTTTCATTTC